TGTGTGTGTGTGTGTCAGTTCCAGCTGCAGGATGTGAGTGAGTTCGCAGCTCATCAGGAGAACGAGCGTCTGATGGGGTTTGTGGTGAGGAGCTCAGCTGAAGATGACGAGCCCTCCTTCAGTGTGTTTGTGTTCGAGAGCAACACTGAAGGAGAGAAGGTGAAAAACACACCAGCACACACACACACACACACCTCACACTCTACCTCAGCTCAACTCCTGCTGTTTCTCCTCAGATCTGCTACACCATCAACCTGGCCAAGGAGATCGCAGACGCCCGGAAGGTAAAAACACACTCCAAACATCCTCATTCATCCAAACATCATTCCACCACAGAGGTGAAGGGTTAGTTCATTTAAAAAAAATGTAAATACCACAAGATTTGTAGATTTAATAACTTAAATTTTTTAGTTTTTATGCCCCAAAATGAATCCTGATGAACACAAAACGCACATTATTCAACATGTGTTACTGGAGGGAAAGTAGTGTTGTTCATTGTTATCAATATATTGAATAATCGTGTGTGTGTTTGACGTGTGTATCAGGATCCTGAAGCTCTGGCTCAGCTGATGAAGTCAATGCCACTCACCAATGACGGAAAGTTCCTGTTGCTGGACAACGAGACCGGAGACACCGCAGAAACAGCCGGACAAGAAGAGCAGGAGTCAGAGGCTTGATACACACACACACACACAGAACACACACTCATTCACACTCATTCACACACACACACACACACACACACACACACACACACATCCTCCAAATCTCCACACACTCAATGAAAAAAACAGACTGAACGCCGCTCATTTGTTTAGCACTTTCCCAGCTTTAAATGCTCACTATATAAACAGAAAGCGAAGGATTAAACAGAAACCAGTTTACATGTTAAAGGAGTAATTCACCCCAAAATGAAAAGCAAATCAATTGAATCTTTGGCTCGTTCCTCGTACAGCGACTGTCAGTAGTGTGTATGAGCCCTACAAACCTGATAATGATACTTTTGCCAGTGTAAATCATTGTCATTGTAGTGAGAGTTTTCATTTTTGGGTGTACTGTCCCTTTAAGAAAAGATCAACTTTCATTTTTCATCAAATTTCAAGGTTAAAATTGTTTTGTACGGTACATACACCATGTTATAATAAAAAAAGATGCATTTTGGGGCCTGAAAATGTACGTAATGCGTAAAAGTTTTTCTAAATGATAACGCTATCATTTCCTTTAACTATATTTTGTGAAAACATCGATGTTATGCATGTGTAGTCAGGCATGTGTTAAAATGACTCTTGTCTGTTTAGCTCTTTCCCAGCTTTAGATGCATTTTCATTTTTGGGTGTACTGTCCCTTTAAGAAAACAGAAAATACCTGATTTTTCATCATTTTTATGGCTAAATTAGTTTCGTAGGGTATGTTCACGCAACACCATGTTAAACATGAAAAAGGAGAGAAAAGTTGTCAATTTAGGGCCCAAAAATGTACAATTTTAAATACATAAAAGTTTTTCAAAATGATAACGTTATCATTGGCGTTTAACTATGTTTTGCAAAAATAGCGGTTTCGCATAGTTTAGTCTATAGTCAGGCTTGTATTAAAATGCCGCTCATCTGTTTAGCACTTTCCCTGCTCTAGATGAATCTTCGATTTTGAGTGTCCTGTCCCTTTAAGAAAAAAATCTACTGGATTTTTTATTGTGTTTTAATGGATGAAATGGTTTCGTAACAAACGTTTATGCAACACTATTGTAAACTAAAAAAAGGGGGATTTTGGGGCCTGAAAATGTACTATTTTAAATGCGCAGAAGTTTTTTTTAAATGATAATCATCTTCATTGAACTATATTTTACATTGTTTAGTCATTAGTCAGACAATTAAAATGCCACTCATCTGTTTAGCACTTTCCCTGCTTTAGATGAATCTTTAATTTTGGGCGTCCTGTCCCTTTAAGGAAAAAAAAAAAATCGACTCTATTTTTCATTATGTTTTGTAGAGTGCATTTATGAAACACTATTGTAAACTGAAAAGGGAAAAAATTGCATTTTGGGTACTGAAAATGTTCAATTTTAAAGTTGTAAAAGTGTTTTTCCCAAATGTGAATATAATCATCAGCGATGTTTAGCTTTATATCACATCAACTTGATTTTTTTTCATATTTTTATTGTTAAAATATTTTCGTATGGTACATTTATGCATTACCATTTTAAACAAAAAAAATAAATTGTGCATTTTGGGGCCAGAAAATGTAACGCGAAAAAGTTTTTAAAATGGTAAAATTATCATCTCCTTTTAACTAAGTGTTGCGTGTACTGTTCCTTTAAGAAAAAAATCGTTACTTTTCATAATTTTTTACCGTTAAATGTCTGTTTCCACAACACTATTTTCGACTAAAAGTGGAAACAGTTTTGTGCATTTCAGGTCCTGAAGCTGAAGAACTTTTAAGTGTTTGATGTTTTTTGTCACCTATTTGTAAACTATATTTTGTCATAATATCTTTCATATTATGTGTTCGGTTTATAGTCGGGCATTAGTTACAGGACCGTATTTGTGCAGATGTTTAGTTTTCCTTACAGTATGACATCGCCACCTACTGGTCTGACATGGATAATACAGTGTCATTTCTGTAAATCCGTTAACAGAGATCATCTGAACAAAAACACAACAGAACACGTTCCCGTTTTACGTTCAGCATTGAACCGTAAATGTACCCTGATTTTATTACGTTTATAAAGCATCAAACGCACTTTGTGACATTTTTAAAGCTGATTCCAGCACATTATAAACATTCCATCAACTCTACCATTCCATTTTTATGGCGACGCTCTTTATAATTACAGCTGAATCCCAATTTGCATACCGTGATTAGCATTTGTGCATCTCAAATCATACTGAAGACTTAAAAGATATTCTCTGCATGCTAATATTGCTTCAAAGAAGACACTTATGAAATGGCAAGGAATGTAAAGCTTGAACGGTTTGCTAATGTATTTTAAGGTAACAGATGCTTACATGCTGATATTAGGATTTTAAAGGTGCTACTTTTAGTGCTTATGCTAGTTGGGATTCAGCACAATGCTAGTTCATGTTTCCTCTTAATATTGTTGGTTGTAATATTATTATTTTTTATTTAAATGTGCAATTTAATCTCTTTAAAACACTAATAGTAAGAAGTCACCGTATTTTCTGGAATACAAGTCCTGTTTGTTTTATTATTTTATTAATTAGTGCTATGATTAAAATAGAATTTAAAGCACATTTTACATTTGTAATGTTCATTTTTGCTACTAGTAATTATTTAGAAAAAATTAACATGTACTTAAACAAATGTTAAACTATTTACATGACAAATACAGGGCGTATTTTCTGGAAAATACAGTACTTCCTGCTGTCTGTTTACATTTAATCCCATTTAAAAATATACACAGAATCTGTAGATTAAACAATACTAGTGTATAACTCTGGTGGGGGAAAAGAAATAGTCTCAGGGTGAGTCTGGTAACAAAGCTAAATCATTTCCTCTTTTTTTTAATCCTCAGTATTTGTTGTGGGATCAGTTCATTAAACATTTCCATGAGTAGTCTGTGTACTGAAGGTTCCGGCTGTTGGAGTTTAGACATGGTTGGCTAGCATAGCTCTGAATGAAGTTGAACTGTTGTTTACATTGATGCAGTGGATAAAGTGTTTGTCCAGCTCTAATATTCCTCAATACGCGTCTGAAGTTTAACCTGCGATGAGCTTGAGCATGATGAAAAATAAACCACTGATGAACATGGTGTGTCAGATTCTGCCCATGTAACGTCTTGACAGAATGTACAACTCTTTAATAAAGCTTTCTGACCAATTAGAAGCTCCACATATTATTATTTCTGAATGAAATGCTGACATTTCTTCTGGGAAAGATCATGAAAAATCATATATCAGGAGTTTTAAAATCACAGATGTATCGAAGACATTATTATTATTATTTCCCAACTCTTGTTCCTGAAGGCACACCAACAGTACACATTTTCAACCTCTTCCTAATCAAACACACCTGAATCAACTCATCGGAACTTTAGAGACTCCAAAACCTGAAGTGAATTGGTCAGATAAGGAGACATTCAAACTATGAACTGTTGGTGTCACTCCAGGAAAACAAGATAGCCCTGTTCTGGAAAGTGGGCTGGGACCAACAGCTCATTTGCATTTAAAGAGACAGACAAAAATGTAATTAACAGCATAGGATAATAAATGGTATTTAGTGCTGAATTCACACCAAATGCGAAAATCAAGTAATCACACAAGCAAAATCAATAAAAACGTGTGAATAATGGATGTGTCTCAAATGGTTCAGAATACGTGACATGTTCACCAGCAAATGTCTCATTTAGGTCCACTGAAGAAGCAAAAGTTGACTGAGGAGGTGAGAAACATCCTGTGAGTGAATCAGAGCTAGTGACACAGTGTACCACATTTGGTGTGAACCCAGCATTACACATAATAGTGGACATCTGAGACTTCTGTTTAAAAAGAGGGCATAATATGACCTATTTAAAAAAAAAAAAGTCCTGAGAATGCAATCTGAAAATTAAATATTTTATTTTACATCACACACCACAATAATACTGAACAATACAGATTTGAGTTGATTGTTGGTTGATCTTTGACTCACATGAGGAAGATCAGGAGTCTTTATAGTAGTTGTTAAGGTTGATGCGCAGCAGAAAGTCCTCCAGATGTGGCTGATAGCCTTTGTCCACCAGTTTGGACACCACTGTGAGAAAACACAAACATAAACACACACGCAGTCATTTAACTCTGTTTAGAAGGAGCAATAATAATTATAAGAGCTGTTTCAGCATCAAAATATCGCAATGTGAAAGTTTATTATTTGCTTGTGTTTTAAAGACTTATACTAAGCATTTCAAGAGCGTTTAGGTACAAAAAAGTATGTTTAGAGTGTAACAAAGATGAACTGTTTTTAATTCTTACACCATGTCTGCAAAAGAAAAAACAATGTAGATTTTTTGTCTTGTTTCTAGTTCAAATATCTACATTTCAGAGAAAAAACAAGATTATTTTAGCAGATTTTAAGGAAATTTCTTCTGAAAGCAAAAAGCAGAGAATATTTTTACTTGATCTACAAGAATTTGTGGATATTTGGACAAGAAATGAGTCAAAGCAAAGAAAGAAATATATATATATATATATATATATATATATATATATATATATATATATATATATATATATATATATATATATATATATATATATATATATATATATATATATATATATATATATATATATATATTTATATATATATATATATATA